GAAGGCTCAGGGTCACCTGATCCAGCCCAAACTATAAGCTTTATCAAAAAGGAACGTCTTAAGTCTAATCTTAAAGGTAGAGAGGGTGTCCGCCTCCTGAACTGAGACTGGGAGTTGGTTCCATAGGAGAGGAGCTTGATAGCTAAAGGCTCTGCCTCCCATTCTGCTTCTGTGGACTCTAGGAACCACAAGTAAACCTGCACTCTGAGAGCGAAGTGCTCTGTTAGGATGATAAGGCTCTACGAGGTCTTTAAGATACGATGGAGCCTTGTCATTAAGGGCTTTGTATGTTAGGAGAAGGATTTTAAATTCTATTCTGAATTTTACAGGGAGCCAGTGGAGAGAAGCTAATATGGGAGAGATATGATCTCTCTTGCTAGTTCCTGTCAGTACTCTGGCTGCAGCATTTTGGATTAACTGGAGGCTTTTTAGGGAATTATTGGGACATCCTGATAGTAAAGAGTTACAGTAGTCCAGCCTGGAAGTAACAAATGCATGGACCAGTTTTTCAGCATCACTTTGAGACAGGATGCTCCTGATTTTTGCAATATTGCGCAGGTGAAAGAAGGCAGATCTAGAGACTTAGCTTTTGTGTGATTTAAAGGACATATTCTGATCAAAGATGACTCCAAGGTTCCTCACAGTAGTACTGGAGGCAAGAGCTATGTCATCTAAAGTAACTATATGATTAGACAGCAGATTTCTAAGGTTTTCAGGCCCAAGCACAATAACTTTGGTTTTGTCAGAGTTTAGAAGTAAGAAGTTGCAGGTCATCCAGGCCTTTATGTCTTTAAGTCATGCTTGAAGTTTGACCAGCTGATCTGATTCATTTGGCTTCATAGATAAATATAACTGAGAATCATTTGCATAGCAATGGAAATTTATGTTGTGCTTCCTGATAATATTGCCTAAAGGGAGCATGTATAAAGTGAAGAGAATTGGACCTAACACAGAGCCCTGTGGAACGCCGTGACTAACTTCAGTTTGTGTGGAACATTCGTCATTAACATGAACAAATTGAAATCTTTCTGATAAATAAGATTTGAACCAACTTAGCGCAGTTCCTTTAATCCCAATAACATGTTCAAGTCTCTGCAGTAAGATGCTGTGATCAATGGTGTCAAAAGCAGCACTGAGATCTAAGAGGACAAGTATGGAGACAAGTCCTTTGTCCGAGGCTAGGAGAAGATTTGATTTGATTTGATATTTTCTGATCATTGGTGCGGTTTCTGTACTATGATGGACTCTAAATCCTGACTGAAAATCCACAAACAAATCATTCTTGTGCATCACATCACGTCTTCAGGTGTGTCCAGATGAAAATGAGGTGTGTAGGTGTGTAGTTAACGGGCGCTTTGACTTTTTTGTGATGTGCGTCTGTCTAGGTGCGTGCGTTGTGCTTGATATACATGCAATGATAATTTGACTGTTGACAACAGACCTGGTTTTTGCTGATCAGTGGCACAGCCGCTTTGTGCGTCCTGTTTGAAGGTCCCCAAAACCTCCCAAATAATAGCAACCTGCAGTTATTGTGGCAGCTACCCCCTTAACCCTCAGATGTTGCCGTACTGAGAAACTTTTATAAGCCAGGATACTCTTGCTCTTTGAGGGAGTGTTAAATATAGTCTGAAATAACCAATGAAAGCTGTGTCACTGGACACGTAAGACCATATTTGTTTTGCACAGTATTTAGTTGACCTAAAATGTTATTAAGGATAGGATATTTAAAGAATAGTGTGCAGTATGTAACAAGTAAATAACTGGATATTTTAGATAAAATCCTTTTCTAATATAACTTTCTAAACACCGCCTCCCTTCAGACAGACAGCCGGTTTTGTATGGCATAACATTCGAGCAACAAGCCCAATCAGAAAAGTGCTGCTTGTGTTGTCACCGTGAGGTATCCGCAGCCAGGCAGCTTGTTAACACTGCTGGGTTGCCACTGCCAGTTTTAATTTTCTGAGACACTGTTCAGAAGGTCGGCATACTATTAATACTATGAACTGTAAACCCTTTTCTGATGTCTCTGTCTAAAAATCATTTTAGCAGTTCAATCTGGGCCTTCTGTCAACCCTGTGAACTGTTATGCAACCTCACACACTCACTAAGACTTGGGTAATCACACTCACTGGGAATTGGGTAACCAAACACTGAAAAATGTGTGTCTTAACCATTACCACTTAAAAGTTTTAAGTCACCAAACTCATAAGAATGTCAATAACATCAAACTTGACTCAATAACCACAGAGAGTATGAAACCTTTTCAGGAATTTTATATAGAAGCTTAACAGAGCTACAGCAAAGCAACAAGCAATAAAATATAAACCTTAAAATCATCAATAATTGGCTTCCAATCTAAATGAATCAACAACTACGAATTCTAAACATAAATTTTATATGATCATACTGATTAAAATCATTATGGTTGAG